TGCCTACCAATATAGTTAAAGTGTTTAACTAGGTAACAGTTGACAAACTGCCTACCAATATAGTTAAAGTGTTTAACTAGGTAACAGTTGACAAATTGCCTACCAATATAGTTAAAGTGTTTAACTAGGTAACAGTTGACAACCAATGAAAAATAAATGTGATTTTTTAAAAATATATTTTTTTATGATCTGAAAAAGTAACAGTATGACTCACTTTGCTCATTTGTACCAATGTCCAGATAACTCATGTTACGAGCAAGCCCTTTCACTAAACAATACAGAGGAAAACAGTGGCTCCCTCCAGCTGGACTACTTCAGATAGACTTCCGTTTCCAGGGAGTCGCTAGAAACCAGACAGTGTGGCTGGGGGCAGGCACATGCCCACACGGCCACCCCACAGGGCCTACCCGGCATGCTCCTCAGGAGCTTGGCGTTGCACATGTGTCCCTTCCGGATGTCGGTGAGGATGTACTCCATGCGCTTGGCCCTCCAGAGGAAGTTGAACGCTCTCAGGTAGTGGCTCATGCACTCTCGTGTGAACACCTGGGGGACAGCAGAGACAGGGTCACGGCACACGCTGCAGACTGCAACCAACCTAGGTCCCAGCCTCCAAAGAGCCAACAAACACTCAGTCAATGCCAGCAAACTCCAGGAGATGCGCAAGTCACTGAACCAGCGCATTTCAAGGAAAGCACCACAACTGCCATGACACTGGTGATTTACAGGCCAGGCACAGCCCAACAGCAGAGGCAGGCGTTTTTAGACCCACACTGCAGCAGGGAAAACTGGGGCTCAAGGTGACATGGCTAGGAAGTGGATCATCAGAACCTTGACCCAGGCTAGGCCCAGACTAAGTGTGGACGCTTAGCAGTGACTCCCAGCTCCTGGAGGGACCTAACAGCAGCTCCAAGGTGGAAGGGAGGCCTAGCGGAATCTCCACTCTGAAGGGTCCCTCAGCCATCTTCATGGATCTACTTATCACTTGAATACCCCATCTGATGCCCACGAATGTGGCTTCCCAAGCACTGAATTTACCTCACCAGCCCCTGGTGGGGACCAAACAAGGCCTTCCCTGCAGCCCCTCAGTGACTCAGCCCACGAGTCGCTTCTTAGATCAAGGATGAGCTATGCACTTGTGGCACAGGGTCTTCTGCAGACCACAGCCACATATTTCTGACACAAACATGAGTGCTGCAGTGGAGCACGTGTCCACCTCCATCAGAGGAAGGGCAGAGGAAGTGTGGCCTGCCTCAGTGTCCACCCTGCATCAGAGACACTTGGACATGGCCGGCTCGGCAGGCCACTTTTGCCACTGGGACAAGGCCAGCCTTCGCTGTGAAGGGAGCTCCTGCACCCCTGGACCTGGCCTTGTCCACCTCCTCTTCTTTATCTAAATGTGACGTATGTGGCCCTATTCTACCCATCTCACCTGCCCAAGCTCTACCCATCCTCCAGGACAAAGGTACACGTCGTTCCCCCGAGGCGCCCATGTCCGTCTTCCTCAGACACCCAGAACATTACTGCTGGATGTCCTTAGTTTTAGTATGTGATTAAGGACTACCTATTTATTCTCCCGTATGCATCTTTGTGCCAGTACCTGGCAGGAGCCCACAATGATGGAGGACCAAGCGCTGGAGCAGAGGTGACTAAACTTGCACTGAAGGTACTCCAAAACCAGACCATCTGCTTCGAAGTGCTTCCCATGCTATCAACAGTCTTGCAATTACAGAAATTAAGGTGACTGGATTAAGTATTGTGGTAAATGAAGGATTCTTCACCATACAAATACATACTATAGGGCAAGGGCCCTTTAACACTTTTTAGGGTTTTTTTAATTTGTTCTAATTAGTTATACATGACAATAGAATGCATCTGGACACACCGTACACAAATGAAGCACAACATATCATTCCTTTAACACATTTTAAACTGCATTTTTAAAATGCAATTTAATCACCACTCCTTTGGGATATTAACTAAAAAAAAAGTGCTCACATTGCACTGAATCTACATGAAGAAAGCACCACAACACTGTAGTTCTACTGTCACGCTGCCTTTCAGTTCACCTCCTCTTACAGAATCGATTCCAGAGAAATACTAAAAAAGCTCTGACACTTGAGAAGGTGACAGAAATCCCAGGTTTCTGCGGCGCCGTGCAGAAGGCAGCACTGAAGCAGAACCAGGCCTTGCACTGCCCCTGCCTCACCACCAACCCTCAGTCCCCTCAGCCACGGGGCAGTCAGACGGCCTCAGCACTGAGTTCCCAGATAAAATAAAACCCAACGTCACACAAAGAGCTTAGGATTCATTCAAAATAAGGGGAGCCAGAGTATTTTATTACATGTTTAGTGAACTATATTTGGCTAATTTAGGGGGAAAGTAACTTGAGTCTTGAATTTCATAAATTAATTTCAAATTAATTTCCCAAATAAAATCTATCCAAAAATTTCATTGATATTTTATATCATGGAATCAGTATGAAACAAATTGCTGTTATTAGATATAATTTCATGATTATTACAAGATATACCTATAATTAAATTCTGTATAAAACTGCCAACTTGAATTGAGAACAGAAAATAAATAGAATAATATGTAAGTTTAACAGAAAACCATTCTCTTCAAAATCTTGACTCTAAAGACTATTTTTAATATAAGTCTCCTAGTAACCTTTATATATAACATAACTGCATACAGTTTACTCTGATAAACATTATTTCAATTTCTAATAACAGTTGAATACTTACAACAGTCCAATATGGCTACAGTCATGGCAATTTAGCTGGAAACCTGCTAACCACATGGCAAAGGCCAGACGAGCAGGAGAGCATTCCCCACACTGGGTCCCTGGCAGGGCTGCCACCGACAGGACCCTCCCTTCCCCTTTCTCCATCGGGCCGTCCAGGCTGCTGCCACCACCACTGGCTACCCTACAAATCGACACTTGTTTGCCACAGGAATGTCCTAGATGCATTTTTTAAAATGACACTATGGCATAACGTGCTTTTCTTCTGTCCTTCTGCTAGAGCCTGAAAACCTATGATTTTAACAACATGCCATCACATGTGAGTGCACAGCACACTCCATGTAAGATGTGCAATGTTACAAAACAACTAAGGCATCACATATCTAAACTGTGTTCAGGTTGCCTATTTGCGAAGGCACTTGGAGCTTGTGAAAATGCGACTTCCCTCCCTAGGGTATCCTGGTCCCTCATGCGGGTTGGACAAAGCACTCTACCACGGAACCCCACCCCCGCCCCACTGTGGAGCCTGTTGTAGGCTATGAAAATGGCAGGAAACGTACATGAGCCCGCAACGCAGATACTATGACAGTCTCTCACTTAGAGTGTTAAAATATCAAGCGTGTTGTACATTTTAACTATCTAACCCTGTTTAGGATGTAAGTCAAAGGAAAAAACCTAACTGCCCATGACAAAAGAGTGAACTTAAGGGTGTTCAAGCCAAGGCAGCTTCCTCTGGTGAAGGACAGACAGGCGAGGCAGAAGTGAGGCACCTGTGCCATAGTCCCAGCTCACGGCCAGCAACACACCAGTGGTTGGTGCCAAGTCTGCCCAGTCTGGTGCAGCCTCAGAGACATTATCCTCACGGGCAGTGTGATTTACCCCAGGAGAGGAAGGGACAAGCCAGAGAGTCCGGCTCTACAGGAACTACTACAGAAGGCTTAGAGTCTAACTCTGTTACTTCTCAGCAAAATATTTGTCCCAATAAATAAAAGAAATGCAATGTCCTTCTTCAATATTTCAGCTATAAAAATGACTGAACTAAGTTTAAAGAGATATCATGGTCAAGGAGGATTTATTCAAGCCTGAATAAAGAAAAATGAGCACCAGAAAGAGGCATTTTAATTGCAGAAACTAAGATGACGACTCTCCTGGCCAACCATTTACGATCGGATAACTAAAAAGAAAGGACGCTTCACATGTGGTAAAAGCACTATGAACAATAGCACAGCTATTTTCTCATCAGTTTAAATGAATACTCCATATCAAACTTTATCTAAGTAGTAAAAATACAATTCCCCTAAAATATACTTTATAGTTCCTTTCAAATTATTCTAAATTAGTTGCTACTATCTAAGAATAATGGAACAAAATGAACAATCCATTTATTAAGTACTTGCTGAAATCTATGATAGAACGGATGATATTTTTAAGGAATCTTAAAATAATACAGCATTTCAGCACTTATTACTAATGATTTAACACACAATTTTGGCCTAAGTATTCATTCATTCAATGGGCACATATCCTACACATCACAATCACTTGGATCATGTTCACGGAGAAAAAAGCCAATTTTAAACAATAAAATGTTTAGCATTCAAAACAGGCTGACTCTTAGACAAGCACACAGAATGAACTCACAGTTGCAATGGGTCCATCAACGTGGTAATCCAGGCTGAAGACGTCCCAGCCCGTGTCACCCGGAGAGACCTATCAGCAGAAACAGACATCGGTTTATCATCTGTTATTTTCAGACAACTGAAAGACTCAGGGCACCTGCTGCAGAACTTCCCAGGCTCCCTCTGTAACAAGGCTCTGGTGTCTGGCTGCAGGAGAGCAGGGAGCGGGTGGCATCAGCCTCTGCGTCCTCAACAGTGAGGTGAGGGCAAGGCACGCCACAGCTGCTCTACAGGTGGTTAGGAATGAACACTGAGGGTACGTTCAAAGCCCATGGGCCCATGACAGGTTCCAGATCTCAAAAAGTCTGGGCTTTAAGAAAACCAATGGAGTCGTATCATGATTCTCATCAACATTCAGCGAACACGCGCTTGTGTTTATACCCAGGCCCCAGCCAGAGCCACTTCCTCCCACCTATGCTGAAAGCCAACCTGCTGCAGAACAGTCACCACCACCAAGTGTCCATGATGTGCCATCTATTCTGGGCCCAGCAGCCCTATGAATCACCCCTCCCCAGGTGGCATGGCTTGCAGGGCAGGTGACTTGCCTGTAATCACCAGTATCAAGGCTAAAGTGGAGTCAAGGCCCCAGGAAACAGGCGGTGCCATTTCCAGAGCCTAGAAGAGCCCGGCCTTCACCAATGTGGACACACCCACGAAGACACACCGCACACTCACGCTGCTCACCTCCAGCAGCCTCACGTCCAGCCTTCTGAGGATCTCAGGACTGTCAAACTGTGCATTGGTGGCTCTCACAGCAGTTTCAAGGATTCCAGTCAAGTTATGTTGATACAAAGTTGTTGCTGGACGGACAAGTTCCGGTCTTAATATGTTGTGTAAAAATTAAAGAAAATGTTACTTGGACTTTGAAGGAACCCCTAAGTACCTTGCAAGTAAAATTCTAATTTTAAAAACTGAAAAGATAAATGGGACCAATACAATATGGTAACAAGAGCTACAAGACATAAATTGCAAGTAGGATTTGCCAACTATTTTAAAGACTAAAACACTTTATTCAAAATTCCCAAAATATTAATTTTCATTTGGCTTAAATTGAAAGTACTTAAATGTTAGCAAAGTTTTCAAACTTAGGACTGGCTTATGAGTAGCGCAGATGACTCCTTTCCCACAGACCCTCAACGGCAGGAGAGGGCTTCCTGAAGTCAGGCCTACTAGAAACGAGGATGCCGCAATTCCAAAGGGCTCAGAAACACCCGCCATCAGCAACAGTACTACCAGCTGCTAAATACCAGGCCTTAGGGTGCCTGAGAAACATGGGCAAACACTGGGCATCACCTGGCCACTCCCCATAGACACCAGACACCTAAAGCCAAGCTCTGAGAAGGACCCCTGCCTAGGATAATCCAAGCCACCCTAAAACTTAAATTTCCAAATAATCGGTAAATAACAAAGCACAGATACTCAGAAATATATTTACAGAAAGTGAAGTCCCTGATAGAGCTAGTCCACATGGGTTTCGGAACTAGACAAAAGATAAAGTGACTTTGGTGGTTTATTTAAGGGGGCAAATCAAAGACAGGTATAAGGTTTCAAGGGCAGACAAGAGTCACAAGCCACCTGTGGCTGTGTGTGGACTGCTGTGCATAGTAGCCTTGCGAAAAGATCAGTCCGGCATTGAGAACTCCCGGTGGCACCCCGACAAGGAGTGACCACCTAATGCGGGTGAACTTCCCTCCTCAAGCTCTGCCAAAGATGCCACATTGCACCTCAAATGGGTGTCACATGCCAAGATGTCAATCAATCTGCTGACCGCAAGACTCCGCCCTTGAAACCTTATCCCTGCCTTTGATGTACCCCCTTAAATAAACAATAAATAAAGTTCAACCATGGCCCAAGACCACCAAAGATCTGATGGGGACAGCTAGGATTTAAAAGTAACTTACTGTTTTGTGTCCTAAGGGGGACATTCATCTTTTTTTTAAATGTCCTAAAGAGAACTCCACACCCTGCCCCAAATAAGTATCCATTCTCACAAACGCCTGAGTGAAAACCACTGGGCTTATGCTGTGGTGACACTCAGCGTGTGCATGGCAGCGCTGCCCAAGAGCGCTGGACTGCACCCCTGGGGTCTGTGTCCTCTTAGGAACAGACGTCTCTGTCTCTAGGGAGGGAGGACAAGACCAGCATGGGACCCCAGAGGGATGGCGAAGGAGGGCCAAAGGAGCAAAATGGAAGGTTTTGCTCTTCACACAAAACAATGATAGCTGAAAATACGAATACAAAGTTGAGTGTAAATTATACATTTTCAGGTTAATTTCACACTGAAGCCAGAGTTAACTATGACTGCTCACACTCAGGGTGCTGACACAGCCACGGTGCTCGAAATGACACAGATTCTTAGGAACAGCACATCGCACAGGCTGATGGCCTACAGATCACCAGAGCAAACCCAAAGGACCCTGGCCCGTGAAATGACACCATTTTATCTGTGTAGATTATGACAGACTGTGCCCCTTAACAATTCAAGCTTTCCCTCTGATACCACTGATTCTTCCATACCAGAAGTATCAGACTCTTTCACATTGCAAGTACTGCCTACTTAGAACACTTGAAGCAGTTTACTTCTTACTTTAGCAAATCCATTAAGTGCCTTATAAAGTCTCCTTGACCAAGAAGCAAGTACCGCCTCATTGCCTGCATGTGGTCCAGCAAGCTGTACTTTTTGTTGAGAACATCCAGTAGATATTTGCTGGTCTCGAAATAAGCAGCATCGATCTTCCCTTGAAATGCATTTTCTAAATCTGTGAATAAATCTGCAGCTGTAGAGGACAAAGGGAGAAGCACACATACATGTGTGATATGTATCGGAACAGTACAGCAGAGGCACAAATGTGCGGAAGGCAGTGCCAATCCCACCATAGAGTTGCAGTCAAAGAAAGCAAACCAGCACCCAGACAGCTGAGGGCACTCGCCGACCTCAACTGCGGGACCAACAATAGGAACTGACACGGCACTGCTCCAGAGGTCACTTTCCACACTGCCATGTGAAGTCTGACTAAAGCTCTATAGTCACCCACAAAATAAGTGGTCCTGGAGAAGAGCCCCGTGTGAACATGTGTGTGTTACGCAGCTCTGGAGAGCGGGGCACCACGGTCATGCAGCTCTGGAGAGCGGGGCATCACCGTCCTGCAGCCACATCACAGTGCCACAGGAACCCACTGGAGACTTCCCAGGGAGAGGACCAGACTGTAGCCCACAGAGCCTAGCTCCTAACAGGGGGAAGTACTTCCAAAGGACACAGAATGTGGAGACCACAGACACACCACAGGGCTTTTATGAGGCTAATTACATCCTGCAGCTCCAGTGTGAACATTCAGTTTCATTTAGAAACCACAGTACCCTCGGGCTAGAAAACCACCCCAAAGCTAAGCCACAACCTAAGCCTGAGAAAAGATGAAGTACATGTTCAAGGTCAAGCAGGAATAAGAGAGGTGATGCCTTTCATTCCCAGTTCAGTCTCCTTCCACTGCTGAGTTAAAGTATCAGAAGACTCCATGATTCTCTGTGCTTCCCCACACCCGTGAGTGAGTCTAATACTGCTCACTCCAGGGACCCACTGGAGTAGGAAACAAGGACCCAGTGACGAGGGCCACGGATGACAGCAGAGTGAGGTCTGCTGGGCCCACAGGCACAGGAGCAGGCCACCAGCTCCCACRGTCCTCATGCCAAGGGCAGAGGTGATGTTTCTGTTCATCTATGCAGTTTTACAAGGGCAGACTCTGTAGCCCAGGGGGCCTTCACCACACTGCTGTTGGACTCCTAAGCATTTCTCCTTCTAGTACAACAACAGAACACTAACCAATCTTCCCCCAGGGCGCCTGTCAGAAAACTGAGACCCCGCTCCTCAAGTCCCAGCTCTCCTGTGTCCAGCTTCTCAAATTCCTCTTTATTCTTTAGCGGCACTTGGATAATCTGGAAATTTTTTCACAGGTGAATATGAATTTGACACATCCCACATGTGTACTGTTGGCAGTCTCTGGGGACTTGTGCCTTATCTTTCCACTATGCTATAAACTGAGCAGCAGAATCTGGCTTTCCACAGACACTAGCTGTGACATAGTAGCAGCAGGAATCCAGGCCACCGTGAAAAAGCAGCACAGCCACAACCACAGTGCAGAATGGCAGCGGCAGCAGAGGTGCAGCGGGGCAGCAACAGCTGCAGTGGCCTTACAGCAGCAGCAGAGGCGGCAGTAACACCAGCAGCACACAGTGACAGCAGCAGCGGAGGCAGCCAAACCAGGCCTGTGGAGACGCTGTCCCTCCCAGGTGCTACCCATGCCCCTCCTGCAGGTGGTCCTCTAGGCACTATGGAAAGGCCACAGCTCCAACACAATTACTATCCTGGCTCTTCTTTCTTCCACCTTTTAAACATAGGCATTTCCCAAAATCTGCACTGAATGGCACCTCTCTATCCAGGTAACCTGAGGGACCACAAAACTGTGTGCAAATGCAGGTGGGTGAGACACCCAGCTCTGAGGGCCTGACATTTGCCCCACCCCCACCCTGGGTGCTCTGGCCAGGGCACCAGCCTTGCCCTTGGCTGTCTTCCACGGCCAGCCCGATCTTCTCCTAGGGTTTGGTACCCCATTGTCAATACAAAGGAAACTCTGTGAGCCATCCGAGATGACGAAAGGAACAGCAGACACAGCCAGCACAGGAAAGCTCTAAAACAAGCTATAAAAACACACAATGTCATGACACCATTAAAGCTGGGCAGGCAGCGAGTGGGTAAAATGGAAGTGAGGAATGGCAGACGAATGAGGGGAAGTCATCACACTTGAAATGGAGGGACAAACTTAGCACAGCATTTTGAATACAACACATTGCCAAATCCCTGCTGGTTTCTGAACTGGCATTTGAGTCCCAAAGCATGGCTACCATTAGTTACATTTCACCCTGTTTTCCTATTTTTGGCACCTGTCATTTTACCATTAGGGAAAGAGTAACACAAATTACTAAGCAGAATAAAAAAGTCACACCCTAGTCCAATACCTACTATTTAACTCTGTGTAAAAAGGGGATTAACATTCATACAGATATTATACGCACACACGTGCACACACTCACACACATATATATCTAAACTGTGTTCAACAGTATGTTAGTCATCCACATAATCTCTAAATCCTACGGAACAAAGAACATCTTAAGCAATAAATAACCACCACCATCACCACAGGATCACCCCCACCCTCACTGTCACCACCATCACGACATCATCACCACCACCCTCACTGTCACCATCACCACCATTATCACCACCACCACCACCACCATCCCCATCACCATTATCACCCTCATCACCACCATCTTCACCACCACCATTCTCATCAGTACCATCCCCATTACCACCACACCCACCACCATCACCCCTGTCCTCACACCACCACCATCATATCATCATCCCACCATCAATACATCACCTTTACCCTTATTACCACCATCATCATTATCCCCATCCCCACATCACATCAATGCCACCGCCACCGCCACCACCACCACCACCAACATACTCATACCGTCCTGTGGTGGCTCTGCAGACTTGGTCACAGCTATCATCTTTGTGGTAGGAGTCTGATCATGACAAACTTGGTGCAAGAAATTTATTGATTTTCCTATCAAAAGGACCTAAAAGGAAAATATCCTATGATCACCTTTAAATGGAATTTAAATTATCATCAAATACTACAAATAGTCACAAGTTAAAAATTGGTGATTGATCAAAAACTACATAACAAGGACATCAGATCTACTATCAAATAAATTCTAGGAACTCAAAGCCAATACATTAACACACACATTGACATAGTGATGCATTCAATTAACATACACTTCTAAGAATACTAACAATCCTAAAATGCAAAAAAATGTTACTTAACTGAAAACTAGTTGTTACATAATCCAAGTATATATTACAATAAAACATTGAAGTCACAAAAATTCCTTCTTCCCCACCTTCCTAGATTGATCCATTGTCATAAATGAAGGAATCATCGATTTCCTCAAAGTATATTTGTCATGCCACAGTCGGTCTGTTTTAACTGTTGGATCTGATGCTACAAAAAACTGAAAGCAAAGGTTCAATGAGTACCAAAAAGTGATATTATTGCAAAAACTGAACTAAAAGCAGCATCAAATAATAAGTTATTCTAGAAAATTATTCTATAGGCAAATTCTCCAGATAACAGGGAATCTTACCCATTTACCCAATAAAATTAGTTTTATAAAGAATTTTAGACAAAAATCCAAGTTGAATTACATGTTTCCCAAATAAGAGCATAAAAAAAGCAAGTTATACTACTTCTTGGAGAATCAGGAACCTCACTTTGAGTATCCAGGAGGCCCCTGCCCGCAGCTGGGAACCAGCTTCCCTCTCTGCACAAAGCTCTACTACCTGGCAACAGCACCGACTTCTGTTCTGCTCAGCCAGAACCAGCTTACCATCTCCACTTCACAGAGCTGCACTGTGGGGCACAGGGGTCTGAACCCACATGCTCTGCTCACAAAAGAGCACCGGAGTTCACACCGTCACCTGCGGGCAGGCCCTCTTACACACACGAGCACACGTGCAGTGGCCATCAGCAGCCAGCCAGGTGGCACCGGGAAAGGACCAAGATCCTCTCCCTCCCATTTAAGTCACAGCCCACTTTCCCCGCCCCCACCCCACCCACTCCAGCCACCCAGAGGGCTGACATCAGGAAGAACTCCAAGCACTGAGGGGAAGTTCCACTGCTAACACGTCCAGCTTAGCTACCACCACAGTGAGAATACTTCCACCTTCAGCCACATGCCCAGCACCTGTGCCTTGGTTTCTATAAACCTGTTTTCTAAAAGCAGGAGTGCTGAGTCGAAGTAACCTAATTCTCACAGACAGTACCAGACTTCCTTTCCCAGGAGCCGTCTACTGCCCCTCCTCCAATAGCATGCCCAACATTCTGCATCCTTGTGTGCTTTAGGTGACATTATTATTGTCCTGTTATTTGACTACAAATGAAGTTTAACATATTTTCATAATTTCGTTACTTGCTTTTTCTCCTCCTTAGAACTGTCTTTTTGTGTCCTTAACCCACCATTCTACTGGTTTTGCCTTCCCTTATCAATAACATTCTGCTGTAAAGTACTACATGACACAAACTTAGTTCTTCTTTTCTCTTTTTTGTACCAGGGATTAAACTCCAGAGCACTCAACCACCTCAACCACTGAGCCCCATCCCATCCCTATTTTGTATTTTATTTAGAGACAGGGTCTCCCTGAGTTGCTTAGCACCTTACTTTTGCTGAGGCTGGCTTTGAACTTTGAACTTTCGATCCTCCAGCCTCAGCCTCCAGAGCTGCTGGAATTACAGGCACGTGCTACCACACCCTGCAAATCTAGTTTTCCTAAGTTAACTGTTTGCCACTGGTTACATTTGTGTTCTATTTTCCTGTGACCTAAACACCTGCCTTCCTCTAGAGCTTCCAGGCTTCCTGTCTCCCTGAGATCTTCCCATTTCCAGACCATAGGAATATTCTCCACCATGTGACTTCAGTCTTTGTGCCATGTTCAACCTTGGACTCTGAACTGACAAGATGTTGCAGGGATCTGCTTCCTTCTGCGTGCCATGATTCTTTACTGCTGGACCTGCTGCACAGGGAAGCATTATCAGAACTGCATCAACAGACAAGAAAAGATGCCGTGTGGCTACAGCAAGAGACATGAGGGGCACCTGAAGATTCTTTGACCAGCCAGGGGGGGTGGAGGCAGTTTGATTAGTATTACCATGGGAAAGCAGTATCCAGTGCCCCTAGAGTTTGAACCCACAGGGTTGTTATTCCCACTGGTGCTCCATGCTTGGGAACATGGAGCCTCCGGGACCACACCCTGTTCCTTAACACTCGATGGGCTCTAGGAGTCCTGCTGGCCTCCTGGCACAGAAGGGCCGCTGGGCTCACCTCGGTTCCTCCTGGGACCTAGATTCTGCTGCCTCCCCACGACCCCACTCTGCTCTAAGAGAGAAGTCAGGACCACGACCTCAGCACCCGTGGTGGTGTGCCACAGGACCCAGAGGACTGAGACCCAGCACCGGCTGAACCACACACAGCAGCTCCATGGTGTCAGACCAGAAACCCCACACAGGCAGAAACACACAAGTGCCTACCCATCCCAAAGTGCCCTGTGAATGACACCCCCCGACTGGACAGTGAGTCCACAGGCACAACATGGATCCAAGGAATATCAGCAATTATAGAGCAATGATCTCCTAACATAATGCAAGGACCAAAAGTAAACCAAGAAAAGAGAGGAGACTCCAAAAGGGCAACATCATTAGAAGAAATTGGAAATGTTAAAAAGCTGTGAGCAAGGTCCGGGGCCTGCTTAACTTTAAAAAAAAAAAAAAAAGTGGCTTTTCTTTTTTATTTTTTATTTTTTTGGTACTGGGGATTAAACACAGAGGCACTGGGCCACATCCAAGTCCTTTTGATATATTTTATTTAGGGACAGGACAGGGTCTTGCTGGATTGGTCAGGGCCTTGTGCTAGGTCACTGAGGCTGGCTTTGAACTCATGATCTTCCTGTCTCAGCCTCTCAAGCTGCTGGGATTACAGGCATGTGCCACCACACCTGGCTAAAAACCACCATTCTTAAGCTCTGAAAATGTTCGAGACCACAGAAAATATACAGCATGCCTGAGTTTACTTCATGACATTAGCCTGACACTAGCACACCTTACAAAGAGTGTCAAAACTTAATATTATAAGCCAGTTTCCTCTATGAACATAGAAGAATGAATTCTGAATGAAATATCATCCTTATAGTACTTAAATAAAGTATCCTTGGTCAGGGTATATCACTGTTCAGTACGGCACTAAGTGTCTAAGCACAACTGAAAACAAAACATAAAGGGATCACAAAGAGCTATCACGTCGTGATTGAAAACAGCTTCTTCTTAACTATCACTGACCTGCCAAGAATCTGAGGAAAGTGCAGACCTTTGTCCCAGGGGAAAAATGCACATGTCACAATACTGTTTGGTATACTGTTCAGGAATTTCAGAGATCATTCTAAGCAGCCATGGTATGAAAAAATAATATTTACTGGCGTAAAATAACATTATTTACTACAAGGAAAAAAATAACAAGTTATAAAACATGAATTGTGATATGGTACACAAATACACAGTAAAAATGGAATATTCCTAAATATTTGTACATGAGATTACTAATGAATTTTTAACTACCTCCATTTACCTATTTATATAATCTATTGTATCTCAGATTTTTAAAATTGGACATATTTTTAAATCAGGAAAAAATACTGTTTAAGAAGTAATTCCATCAAATACTGAACACATTTTCCAGTATTTTTCTTAATAACATCATCTTCTCAAGGCAATTAGGTCAAAGGCTTTTTTGTCTCTGGCAGGAACACCAAGGGAGAAGACCCAGGGGATGGAACTCCAGCAATGCCAAGGTCCTGGTAGGAGAGGTGTGATGGTGACGGCCGCACACAGCCAGCCCTCTGCACGCAGGTGCAGGACGAGACCAGGGCTTCCCTGACTGCAGAGCAGGGCCACCCCACTGAGTCAGCTAAGACTTCCTATCTTTAGCACAACTTGAACGACTAAGCATTCGTGGACCTTTCTATTTTAGACTTTTTGATTTACATTACCTTTCTAATTTAAAACACAACTCACAACTGCTTTGAGAAATAAACAGTTCTCTAATGTGGACTATCATCACCTTAACATATACTTAAATTATCTCCACTGGAAATTTAAAAATCCACCATGAATAATCTCCAGGGTTACCCAATCACTGTGCTGTGCATGCTCTGTAGCCTGCCATTCAACAGATTAGATTAATTGCATAAATTGTATTTCCCTGCTCTTCACCTGAACAGAAGAGCTAGCTTTTAATGGACAACACACTAATTCATCCTAATAGCTGGAGTGCAGCCGGATTTTTATCAGCGTGAACAATAAGAAAATTTAATTTCAGCTATAAAAAGCTCAGACAATCCGGTCATCTTCAGAAGTCATGAACGCATTGCTTCCTCTGGGGGCAAAGGAACACGCAGTCACTCTACCGGCAAACAGCCAGTATGAACAGAAAGACGGGCCCTCAGAACATAATTAACCCTGTGAGAGAGAGATGCAGCAAGGGGGGAAAAACAAGGTCAGAATACAGATGCAAAGCTTTTACTTTACTGATGCATTTTTCCACTCAAGGTCTTGGATTTTCACTATTAAACCTAACAGAATCAAGGGGAAATAAAGCTAACTGTACCAAGGTATGTCGTTCGCTGCTAAAGAAACACCAAGGTTCCCCTACTAAACACAAAAACAAAGAGGGAGATTTTCTCAGTAAGCAACTAGTTTCTAGGAATCAGATCCATCAACACAGACCTCTGAAGATTCACTCACCAGCCATGCAGGCCAAGGCCAGGGTGAGACTGCTTCTCAGGACACCCGTCGGAGACACCACAGTGACCATGCCAGGGGACACCCCCACACACACCCAGACACTCATGCAACAAAAGTCCCGGAGGCGGCACACTCACAGACACAGCATGCACAGGCTCAAGACACGCACTTCCTTGGCTAAACTGACCCCAGGCCTCCTGCCTGTTGGGGTCCTACTGCGTGTGACTATCTTCTCGGTCTCCCATGTGGACGTACACTGCTGGGGCACAGGAGTACAGCTGGTTCCTGCTACTGATCTCACACCTGCTGCTGGGAGCACCTAGATGCGAGGTTCAGGCTCCTTCGCCCAGGTACCCTCACAGTGTGGTGCTTGCATCTACAAGACCTTGCCATCAGGGTCAGAGAGCACTTACTGGTTCCTTTCCCACCTGGATGCTTTGTTCCCCCCACCTGAAGCACAATGCTAACAGGAGTCGTGGGAGCAGACACCCCGTCTTGTTCCTGATCCCAGAGGCTCCTGGTCTGTGACAGTTCATAGACGCCCTTTGCTGGCTGAGCTCCTTTCTAGTTAGTCTGTGTGTTCCTAAGGTGAAGAATGTTGGATTTCTTCTTCAATTGGTCCTTTAGCACCAATGGTGGTGGGGCGGGGGGTGTTTTCTGTCTTCTCTGCTCATCCTCTGAGTGTGGTGTCACGCAGTTGGCTCTAGGCTGGACCCTTGCATTCCTGGGGTAAACCCCACTTGGCTGAGGGGTGCGGTCCTTTTGATATATGCCATGAGTTCCGTTTTCCAGTATTCTCTTGGGGATCTTCGTATCTTCATGCATAAGACATTGGCATACCGTTTTCCCATGCTGTCTTACAGCAGCCTCTTAAAATGACCTAAGAACCCTCCCCGTTCCACTGAGAGTGCCGACTCAGGACGTGCAAAGCAGAGCGTGAGATCTGCACACCGCAGTCTCCTCGGCACCGTTCACATTCCTTCCTTCTTTCTCCTCTGGTCCCCCAGCTGGATGGCCTCACTTGACCTCCCTGCTGAGCAGGGCAGCTAGCGATTCTTCTCACTGAAGTAATGCCCTGATCAGCTCCGGCTTCCACCTCTACACCTACTCCCTTTTATCAAGTTCTTTCTTGATATCTTTATCTTTCTTTTGATTACAGAAAGTAGCATTTCTTTATGCAGACATCCAATAATCTACCAGGAAATAAAAGATTATAAGCTCCTGTATCACCATCAGGGTCAACTGTAGACTATAGAAATTCAACCTCACAGTAGCCAGACTGAGGACATACTAACCTATGCTGGAAATGAAGGAGAATTCTCAGGTTTTAGCCACATAACCATCAAACACACCCTCTACAAACTACCAATTTCATTCAGTGAGTACATCAGAGTCAACTAAAGAGAATGTTTCCAAAGCTCATCAAAAGTTTAAATGAACATATATCAACGTAGGGTTCTCCAGAAATTCAGGGTGATGGAGACGTACAAACAGAAAAGAGAAAGGCTGCCGACTTAGGGACAAAAGAGACTCGAGGAACTCACCATTCTGCTGGGGCTGCCTCAATCAGGTGACATCTACATGCTCACCACTTGTCTGCTCAAACCTCGTCCACATGGAACCCCAGCAGGGTGGCCACCACACCCCTCTGGAGACGGAAGGGAGGCTGAAGGGCACAGAGCCATGAGGAGGGCGGCCAGGCCAGAGCCCAGCACGGCCTGCCTCGCAGGCAGCAGGACAAGCAGGGAGCAACACGTCTGTGGCCTGCAGGGCTGGGCAGGGCAGGCCTCAGCAAGGAACTCGGGCACTGCACCTCAAGGGCTCGGGAGAGCAGAAACCGCCCAAAGCTGGGTTAGAATCCATGTATTAATCACCAGATAGAGAAGAGGGAACAGAGACTCTTCAATAAATAGTCGTAAAATTCTCAAGTTTTTTCATAATCTTTATGAAGATTGCTCTAAAAAATGACCTCTTAGTTCTGTAAGGTACGATTTTAATGGGTAATAAAAGATAGCCTCAAAACTGAACACACAGAACTTTTTTCTTTGGTGCTGGGGATTGAACCCGGGCCCTGCACATATATACACCTTAAAAAGAAACTCATTTTTTCATTTTCTTAACCTAAACTCAAAAATGACATACTTTTAAAGTATAGATGATTTGTTTTGTGATCATGGTCAGAAGATTTAACAAGCATTTTAAATAATCAACTATACAGGGCTTCTTTTGGTTTCAGGGGTGTTTTGGGGGGGGGTGTTACTTTGCTACTGAGCCACATCCTCAGCCCTTTTTATAAGTTGTTTAGGGCCTTGGTACATTGCTGAGGCTAGCCTCAAACTCATGATTCTCCTGTCTGAGCCTCCCAAGTCACTGAGATTACAGGTGTGCACCACCTCAACTACACAGAAAACACCATCCAAAACTCACTTCATCTTGTAACTGGAGAATAAAGGAATTCAAATGCATTAACTCTACCAAAAACAAAGCAAAGGCAGACACTTGCAAGTTCCTCCCTACCTCCCATCTTACTGGATAAGAACTGAACAGCCCAAGAATATAAGACCCCTTTAATCCTCAAAGCTTAAGTCTCACTTGAAACTCTTAACCAAACAAACAACTTCATAACATTTTCCAGAATAGACCCAAAAAGGATTTAAATTTCACTATAAGTACAAAACACACTCCCTGCACAGCCAACCGGCCTAACTGCGCTATGAAACACCTATGTAAGCTGATAACAGGAAGCCCAGGACACTAGCACAGGCCAGGGGCCCTGGTTTGAAGTGCCTGTGAACAGAAGCGTTTAGAACACTGGATCTGTTTTGGACTCTGGAATGTCTGCATATACATAAGGTACCTCGGGATGGGACTCCAGTGTCACTTAACTTCATTTACGTTTCCTATGCACTGTGTGGACAGTATGAAGGTCATTGTCAACAGCATACAGAGTGCCTGTTTCATGTGAATTGTCATGTGGCCAGGTGTGGAATTTTCCATTGGTGGCATCATGACATCACTCAGTTTCAGATTTCAGATTTGGAACGTTCAAATTAGGGATGCTGAATCTGAGGTACACCCACTTGAGGGCTTAAAAGGGCAGAATCAAAACCTAAGGCATGCATCCTCACCAGCCAGAGTTCTACCTCCATATCTACTTCCAAGAAATTTGGGAGACACAAAAAAGGACATTCATTTGAATAATGTTCCTAAGATTAAAAGCTACAAAAAACACAATTTCCATCAACAGGAGAGCTGCTGAGTAAATACCGGTCTGTTCATGTGGTGGAATAACACATGGTAATACAAAGGCCCTCCCGGCGTTATCAGAGAGCCGAGGCACACTGACCACTGGCACCACACCCCCACGTACCACCCACCACAGGCTTCCAAAGCACAGAGCGCCATCTACCACTGGTTCTGCTCTAGCCCGTGTCTTAAAAACAACGGCAATGGCGGCACAGCTTCACATCTGCTCACGGGCACCTCGTGCCATGAGGATGGCAGCCAAAGGCAGAACCAGAGCCACAGGACAAACGCACAGTCAGCCCTGTGCCCCCTTCCTTCCTCCCAGGTGCACTGTGTATCAGACGGCCCCCGACACTTCACAGAACAGATGGACCCAAGCCCTCCCATGCCCACTTCCACAGCAAACATCAGAGCTGTTCCAAGGTGAATGCCGTACTTACTGCAGGTTCATGTATCTCTTAACCACTTAACAAGTGTAAATTATTTTTAGGTTCCTGCTTTTGCTTTCTTAATGTTCCTGAAAATGTTTTTGAGTGTGACAATCCTCACCCTATTTTCCCACAAAGCCCTTTGGTTTTTATCGTGTGGCTTTGCATAGCAATGATTTTTTTTTTTTTTTTTTCTGGTACCAGGGATTGAACCCAGGGGCACTTTACCACTGAGCTGCATCCCAGCCCTTACTTTATTTTTTTATTTACAGACAGGGTCTCACTGAGTTGCTTAGGGTCTGGCCAAGTTGCTAAGGCTGGCTCTGAACTTCCTATCCTCCCGCCTCAGCCACCATGCCTAGCTGCACAGCAGTGATTTTTAAGAATTCACATGCTGCATTGTAGCAGAACTGACAATACTTCCAAAAGGTAAAATATACACTATACAATTAACTTGCTTCCTTCAAACAGCGGAACTTAGGGGACCGACTGATACTAGAAGAGATAGGGGATGCAAAAGAAAGGAGCATGTTGCAGAGCCCACCACAGGTGGGCAAAGTGAGTGCACCCAGGGGCCTCCTGGAACAGTGAGTGGACACGGGAGGCGGCACCACTCAGACACACGACAGAAGCCTGGGCAAGTGGGCCGACTCACTGAGTCTCTCACTCCTGGAGCTGGAGAGCAGTTTCCCACCAACCACACACAGCTCTGCTGCTCAGCAAGACTATCTTTTCGGCACAGCACAAAATGCTCATGGCACTTAAGTGAAGTATGGTGTGTCCCGCTCAGAGGGAGTGGAAATGGTGGGGAACCAGGAGGAGTCACCGAGCATCCGCACCCTTCGCCCCCAGCCTCGGCACCAAGCACCCCTTCTTACTTCGTGGTAAGTGTCCTCCAGCTCCCCATCATAGATCCAGCGGTAGAGGAAGCTGAGCACGGGATGAGACACCAGGCTCAGGATGTGCTGCACCAAGGACCTCATATAGGGGTCTCCCGTTCTCGTGTAGGCATGGACAGCAGAGGCCAGCTCACCTCCTTTCCTTCCTGGGAAAACACAACACCCAAGTTTACTTCACAGCACAAACCTGTCACTCAACATTAACCAAAGATGGCCAAGTAACTGAGATAAAGCGTGTCTGCTTTCTTCGGTCTACACCACTTTGGTACCTAGACACAGCAGCAATAAGCAATGCGTCAGGCCAAGACATCAAGATCCTGCCCAGGGCTTCACCCAACATCAGTGATTTCCCTCTTTTTGACTGCTAACAAGTGTTTCAATTGAGAAGGTAGCAAAAAGTGACTGGTGACAAAATCTAGATCTTACGTGGCTTTTCATGCCTTCTTGACTGAGCCACACGCTAAGATTCACACATCGTATTGTAATTCAGCATGATGTAAGATTAACAAGAACTAAAGTTCTAAGAAACTAACGTTCTACACTGTTTTGGAGTTCACTACGCTAGTCTCAATTCACTTTCTTCACCCTTAACCAGCAGCAGCACCTTCTAAGACCCTGTTCCACACAGACAAAGCAGCCCTGAGCGCAGGCTGAAGCAGGCAAGTGGCAAACTCAGGTTCAGAAGCAAAGGTGCAGGAAGCTTCCCAAGTGACACAGCGGCTCATGTTGCCCTGCGTCACTGCTGTGGGCAGACTGCTCTGCCGTGTGCACCAGGGGTGGTGAGCCTGGGACCCAGGATCTGTCAGTGGTTCTCACAGCAGCAGTGCCACCAAGATGGGAAGAGGACAGGTCAGACAGGTAGAGGACAGCAGCAGGACTTAGGTGACCGACTGATACTAGAAGAGATGGAGGACTGCAAGAGAAAGGAGGATGTTGCAGAGACCCAGCCATGGAGGTGTGCAGTAACTGGACCAACAGCAGAGTTTTATATGTTGTGCTCAAAAACCTTTTTGAGAAGTGCCAGGAGGTGAGGGAGGCAGGCACAGACTGCATGGTGATAAACCTGGACTCAGACATGTAAGCTCAGGTCCTGAAAGCTATACAGCAGAAGATGGCAGAGTGTGGGGAGCTCCAACCAGGGGCAGATGGCTGGCTCTTCACATCCCATCAAGTCCTAAGAAGCCTAGGATGTAATAACTACCAGGATCCCAACATCACAAAAGAGAAAGGAGAGGGTCTTGGCCAAGCTGGGACAAACTGTGAGGGGAAAATGTCCAGCAGGCAGCCAAAACTACAGAGGCTAGAGCTCGGGAGGGCCTCGGCTAGACACATACACAGGAACGCCACCATACAGGTGGAGAACAGGGCAGAACCCTGCCTCAGAGGAATGAGGACGACAGGGAGAGGCAGGGAGGCTGCCCAACGAGAGGCCAGGCAGAGAGGAGCACAGGAGGGTCCTGGCATCCAGAACACATGCAGTGACACCTCCCCTCCTGGCCTTCACCTCGGGGACATCCTAAGCCTCCACAAGGACACACAGGGACCACACTGACCATGAGTCGACCTCCCTGTAGGCGCCATGTCTATTAATCTGCATTCAATGAAGGTGCTTTTGGCAGCTAAGGATGCAAAGGGTCAGGGTACTAAAGCACACCGATGGCTTGCCCTGCAGACGACCTTCCACTAGAACACATCTAGGCACACGCAGACACAGAAGCACCTTGGCAGTGATCCACCAGGGCTGCAAGGGTCTTCAGTCTTATTTTGGGATCATATGTCCAAACCAGGAGGCGCCGTAGTGTTAGGCTACTCTCAAGTCCCAAATTCACCCCCTGATCATCCTCTAGCTGTAGCTGAAAAACAACATAGAAAAGTTTAGGCACAAATTCTAAGTTAATTCTAAACAGTACAAAGTGAACACAAAGAAACTACACTTGTGATGAAACCAAAGGTCCCCTTTGAAAAACTGATAGTACTTTCAAGGACAGAGGGTCTTTAAATGATAGACAAGACCCTGAAAATTAACAATTAATGGGCTCTAGGATACAAAGAGACTTTATAGCCATTTGGACCTAACAAATCATATTATGAAGCAAAATGCAATCATTAAAAGTATTGTATAAAGTAACTTAAAAAACTGTCTATGTGGTTTTTTAATTTTCTAACTCTTCAAATCAGGAAGAAATCAAAAAATTTTTAAACAGCTTACCTGGGAATGTAAAACGGAGAGTAGGCGGTAGTACTCCTTGAGCTCTTGGTGCAGAGCAGCACAGAAGCTCTGTGGGGAGCAGAGAGTCACCAGAGTGCCCCGCCCCTGTCCCCATCCCACCCCCACCCTGGCTCTGGAGAGGCCAGGGTCAGAGCAGGGGCAGCGAGCACACACTGGGGCAGTTCTACCCCAATGCTGCTTCTGCCAATGTCCTCACACAGTTCTGACCCCACAGTGAGCCCTTCCACATGACAGGAAAGTGGTAGTCCTTAGTAAGACAGCGTGGACTTTGCAGCATGGCCTTCAAGAAGCTGAAGAGCAGTCACTTCAAAGAGCCTTTGCTTTAGGCCATGTCCCCTCAGATTTTTTAGCGTTAAAACCTAATTTTAAGTTTCTTAATTGGCAAAATTTAAAGAGTGGTAACTCAGTACTGACCCAGCTGGGCTCTGGCCTGCACAGCTCACTCCCCACCCACAGCTCTGAACACTCTGTCCCACTGAGGGCCGACAAGGGGCCACAGCAAGACGGCACTATCAGCGCTGCAAGGAGGGCTCCCTGCACCCGCACACAGCCTGCGAGCAGACCTTGGGCACAAACAGCARGCTACGACAGAGCACACCCTGGGGCAGTTCTACCTCCCACAGCGGCCCACCAGACACAGTCTGCAACAGATAGAGCCTGTTCTCTTGAACACGCGGGCTCCTTACATCTCTGCACATTTTAAAACAATTATAATCACACAAAATAGGGTTTATTTTGCTATATTTATGCTTTGTGGGTTGGGAACTACTAAGAATACTTTCATGTCTGTAGCTCTAAAAACAAACATTAAAATACTGATTTTAAAAACACAAAACATTTCAAAAGAGACTTTCAAGATAAAATGCTCTAGTTTGGGGAATCACAGACCTTAAGGTTAAGTCCTGGCTCCCAACTAAGGCCAGACCCCACTGTCCCAAGCCTGGGTGGCATCAGTTCCTTGGAGGCAAATGAGATCAGGAAGGAAGCACCAGATGCAGGGTGGGCACCGGGTGCTTAATGAACTGAGGGTCCATCTCCTTAGGCAATGTCCACAAAGGAAAGGTCATGTCATTTACTCAGGCCCAGAACTACATGGTACAAAACCCTGCCCTAGCTGTGGGAGCCACTCGGAATGATTCGCGCCTTCCATCCTGGAGCGAAGAGGCTTTGCATCTCGCTTCAGGTCACATCTCGAAGTGACCTGGACACTGCCCTGGTCCAAAGGTTGAGGACGCATCTTCAGACATAGGCGTGTCACCCCATGGATTGAGCTACGCTCACCTGTTCTTTTGTGATATTACCCCTCTGCCCTGCTTGGGATAGAATGTTCCATGGAAACGCCCTTTGTGTGTCCCCTTCTCTTGCTCTGCCTTTGGGTGTGGCCTTCCTAGATGTCAACCTACTGACATCACGTAGCTAGACTCAGCCCCCTGAAACCTGACCCCTTGCCTCACTTAATGGCTTCTCCTCAATAAAAGGGTTCAGCACATGCTCTCTCTCTCTTTCTGCAGACCCTTAAGATCAGAGGAGCCATCACAAGACCCCAAAGAAAAAGGTATCTCTGTCTCCTGTGTGGTTATTTTGTGCAGCCCAGCTCCCCTGGAGTGACCCTGAGTGTTTTTGTAGCGAGGAAGGTGACACCTAGCACCTCAGGGCAGGCACACATACACACACCCAAAACTTTAAGAAACAGAGAAAAAAATCCTGACCACAAGAAACCATCCAATCACCACCAGTCATGAAGAGTATGAACAGGATTACATAAGTTAACTGTGAAGCCCAGGAGTGCGTCAGCACCACATGCTCGGAGGGCAGCCTGCAACCAGATGAGGCCCCTTCGCCAGTCCTAAGGTTCCTGCGTGGGAGAGCCAGACACTTCTAGACTCAAAGGGGGTACTAACCACATAACAAGGACCCCCCAACTGGCACATAAGATCGCCCTAACCAGAGCATCAACCATTCTTCTAACCAGATCAGTCATTACTTCTTGAGCACAGTCAATCTCGAGTATCAGCCATGTCACACTGCCATGCTGCTCCTCACCAGCTGTGCTATGGTGTCACTCTATGCTTACAGTACACAGCCGCCTTGTGATTCTCTCAATAAATTTTTGGAGGTAACACTGGTAATGATCACTACCCAAGAATCAAGTTGTAGGCAAAATCTTTTCTGCTAAACCACTGAGAGGAGGAGGGCCTGTGGAAACATGCTCAAACTTGCTGCTTCCTGGGCCTGGGGCTGGGCCTGGGGCTAGGGCTCAGGGGTAGAGCGTTTGCCTAGCATGTGCGAGGCACTGGGTTCGATCCTCAGCACCACATAAAAGTAAATAGACAAAATAAAGACATTGTGTCCAATTACAAGTAAGAAAACTTGCTGCTTCCTGCCAGGCTCCTGTGGGCAGCAGGGGGAGGCAGCTGATGTTCCTCTGCAGAGTCCAACCACAGCCCCAGGCGGCACAATGGGCTCCCAGTACCAGCACCTGCAGCACGCAGACATGGACACAGGTGCTGCCCAGAACAACTGCATATCACGTAGGCCGTGTCCTGGGAGCTGCTGCTCAGCAGTGGCAGCAGCAATGGGGCAGGCCCTCCTCCCAGGCTCCCTGCTCGCAGGCCCACCACTTGTGGGCCCTTACAGCAGCGGCTGGTCCTTCTGTGTACGCCTGGCATGCTTTCCACTCCCTGAGCACATGCACCCTGACTGATGCCATCACCGACCACCAGGGGGGCTATCCTCGAAAAGGGTTCTCCTCATTTCCACAGTCAGACCTTAAGGAGATCTAAGCACTTTCAAAGCTAACAGTAATGAACATACCTGACCTACAAGTCCAAAGGAACGGTCCAGACTCCTCTGGTCAGTGTACTTTCTGATTTTATTATGTAACCATCCCAACTCAGCAAGTCTGACTGCCGTGTCCCTCAAAGATTTACTTAGGTTTGCCTGAAAAGGAAACACATCAGAAGTTAAAAATGAAGAACCAATACTAGAGTCTTCGTTATCACTCTGCTCGACCACTTGTACTCTTAACAGTATGATTCTCAGGCTTCAGCATGTAAAAGCGAGCAGTACTAACGCACCATCACAGAGGGCAAGGACAGCACAGGGCCAGCAGGGAACAGGGAGCCCTGGAGGGAGTATGAAGCTGTGGCGTCACCCTGTGCGGTGCCTGTCTGTGGCCGTGACTGATCCTCTGAGAATCCTGTGTCAATGGCAAAGTGCCAAGCTGACGTTCTGTCCTTCAGGCACCTCTGACTGCACTGCTGCAGCCACATGGCCAACCCAAGGAAAGGAAGAAAGCACTGCCCAAAGCTGGAGCCAGATGGGACAGGGAAAAGGCCAGGGCCTCCCGGTGCGACCGGCCTGGTGCACCAATTCCATAAAGCCCCAGGAGCACCCTGGAAGGGAAACAGCTATACCATTTGGACTTATGACACTTTTTTTCTTTTTGAATATTTAAACTAGATCACTCATTACCGTACCTTTCCTTCCACTTTATAACAATTTTCAGTGTTGCTCATTTTGATATTTTTGCCATCTATGCCCTGGAAGACATATAAAATGTCTCTCACAAGAGCTGCTTCAGTAATTTCCATAGCACCTGTAAAACGATTTTTTAAAGACAGTAATCACTAACAGACACATTTTAAGATGAAATAAATTTCATGACATGATTAGCTCTGGGTTACATATTTGCCACCAGGACATTTACAAACTCAATAAACAAGCTTAAGATGAAAAGGTGTGAGTTTAGGAAAAACAGGCCTTCTGAAAGGCAACAGAGCCCCTCTTCCATGCAGTGCCCACTTTGAAGGACAAAGCTCCATGTGACCAACAGGCCAGCAGCATAAGCCAACCAGAGGAGACAACCAACAGAGGTGACCTCTACCACGCAGGTCCCCTGCACAACACGCACTCCAGCCTGGGTCCTGCCAGACCACTGAAAAGTAGCTATCAGTGCAAACAAGCCTCTGCTCACCATGACTCCTTGGAACAAACATAAGGCAAACTGGGGGACAGGGCCAAAATAAGGACAAGGAGGCAGAGGCACCCACAGTCCAAGATACCGGTGCAGGAAAAAGAGGCCTAGAGACACAACCTGGGATCTGTGTTCCCAGAGCCAGCCCAACAGAGCACAGGGCGTGCGTCCAACAGTGGGTGGGACGTGCTACAAACACCACCTGCTGCACGCTGAGTTCAAGTCCTATCTGAACCGCACGCAGCTGCTTCCAGGGCGACCTGACTGTCAGTCCTCTCCAGCAGTAACTGCGGGTCAGTCTGTCTTCTCTCTGCTTCTGCCATCGTGCTCTGTGCACGTGAAGCTGCTGGGGGAGGGGGGGTGCAGGGGGAGGAAGACACAGGACTGGGACTCCATGTCTTCCTTAGGAGGAAAAGGCCCTCTGCCTTGGCTCCGGTCCTGCCCAGCGAAGTCCAAGACAGAGACACAGGCACATGTCTGTGCGGCTTGTGTCCATGAGATGGGTGCCTCCCATCCACTTACTTCAACCCTCCACCCTGAGTCCAATGTGTCTCTCACAAGCAGCACACAGTCTGAACAGGATTCTTTTAAAAACAACTCTCTCTTCAACCAAGTGCCATGCATTCAATGCAGTTACCCCCAGGTCGGGGCTTAGAGTAGGGCGGTCTCCACCTATCCCCTGCCCTTTCTTCTTTTGACCATCTCCTAATTCTCATGGATTAATCAAGGAAACCTCGCAAGTCCACTTCCACTCTTGGCTTTGTCAGGAACACAGGCTAAAAGCACTGGCCAGGGGTCAGGAGTGGAAAGTGGCACTGACTAGGTCAAGACGCTGGCATACTAAGCACCAGCAACATGCCTGTGCAAGCTGCTGTTAAACAGCAGACCTCTGTGGGGCTGAGCCTGCTGCAAAGGCCACAGGCTCCTGGACACCCTCACAGCTCCAAGGCAGTCCTTGGCCTGCCTTCTGTGCAACCTCAGAGGCAGCAGGCTGCAGACCAGAGGGGAAGCCCGCTCTATGTGGTGCCTCAAGAAGGACACTGATATTCCTTTCACCATCCAGCAAACTATCACCGAGTTTCTTCCACCCTCTAGGCACTGCACTAAGCACTGGCACTGTGACAGAGACAGACAACCTTCATGTATCTCAGACGTGGAGGTCCGAGTGGCCAGCCCAGGGGGAACAGAATGAGACAGGAAAAGAGCTCTGATGAGGCTTCCCAGAAGGGATAGCAGGATGAGAAAGGACTGTGACCACTGGCTGAGAAGCAGAGGGTTGCAGGACAAAAAAGGGGACATGAGGTGACACCCTAAGATGCTGGGCCCGATCGGGCACCTTCACGACACAAAGGAAAGACCCCTGGGAACGGAGGTGCTGAGAGAGGGAAGAGAGCTGCTAGACCCCTCACTCACCGCCTGTCTCTCCTTCTCTCCTCGACCTCGTCAGGTTGCGAGAAACAGCACTAGAGACACCCTTTGAGGGAGGGGTTTGCGAAGAAGGCTGGTTTGCAGTTAAAGTCCATGCAAGACGTGACCCCAGCTGCTGTCGAAGGCAATCCCCGACTCCCGGAGTTTGATGAGACTGTCTAGAAAAAAGAAAGTAAGGTTTATATCTTGAAGTGACCATGCAACTCACTGAGGAGAAAAGCATCCCAGAAATTCCCTTTCAGTTGCTACACTGAATCACATTAACCCTTTTATGAGATGGGAGACCCCACGACTTCACCCAATCAAACATCACCACAACCAGTCCCAGCCCATGGACACTTGGACCACCCCTGCACACACACCTTTCTTCCCCAACCACTTCTCTTTAAAACTACATGAAACACATTACCCACGAATTAGCACTTTGGAATTCTCAACCAAATTTACTTCAAGATCACCACCTTTCACTCACTCGACAATTCCTGAGCAGAAAGGTTTAAACACCTAGAACCTGCCCATTTGCCTGCCCCAATCACCTCCCACCCTCAAGGTGCTCACTGGGAAAAGACATTGCAATTTCAATCAACTTGGAAGATGGGAAAATGCAGAAATGGAAGGCAAGCTGCAAAGGTCAAGGTAGCAAAGTGACTTGAGAACACTTCACAGCTGCTTCCTAGAAATCCAAGGACCTGACAGAAGGTTCCAATGACATGCACTAAGACACTCCCAACAAAAGTGCCCCTACCAGGGCTGCAAGACACGAGCAGCTCCACTGCCCTTGCTGGAGGTCCAGAGCCCTGCAGGCTGCTCAAAGCAGACAGGGGAGGGTAGTCCCGGAACAGCTGTGCTTGATCCTGTCCTCAACAGGGGAAGCCAACAACACTCACAGACTGTGTCTGTGAACACAGCTGCAGACTTAGCAGACTAATTCTAAAAGTTCGCTGTACGACTTTCTGAATCATCACAATAACCACTCCACATCCTGAGACTCAAATGAGAGTGTCAGCTTACTCTCTGGGCCAGACCAGAACTTCAGATTCACTCTCTTGCGGGCTGTTCGTAGATGTGTAGCGAGCCCCTAGAGAACACTCTGCTCACGTGTGACCCATGTGCTGCATATGTTCCCTCTTCTGATTCCTTGGACATGACTCTTCATCTTACAAAACAATTTATGACTCTACTGTGCCCATGTGGGAAACGCCATATATCTGATACTGATTCCTGATCACTGTTCTAGAAAATTACCCACCTCTGACCATCTGTTTTACTGAGATTTCCAGAAATGAACAATAGCACAAAGCAAAGCCATCTGATTACTTGCACAAGAAACATCCTTAAGATTGGATCTTAACAAAGCTCTTAAGGCACATTAAAGACACTGGCACCTTCCTCATTCTCACTCATGAGCTCACACTCCCTCAAAACATAACCAGAGTGGATGGCATGTTCCACTCCAGAGGCTACCTCACAGCTGTGCAGCCCCGGGGGAGCCAAGGTTCCCCGCTCCTAGGCACTACCTTGGCCAGAAGCGTCTGCCTGAGGATAATTCAACGGTATTAATTATTGCTGAGTATCACTCATCACCAGCCCAACACAACTGGCCAGGGTGACGACCTGAAGACGCGGCCTATGGTGCAATATCAGGCTTGTTTGAAAGCCCGGGACACCTCCAGCTCTCCTGTACCAGGAGAGTGTGCGTGCAAGCATGCTTTACCCTGGGAGGAGAGGCTGGGGCGCAGGTGCAGGGCCACTGAGGGCACACACGCTGATGCTGCTGATGCCGCTGCTGCCCAGGCTGCCAGAGCTCTGCGCCGCCTGGGTGCCCCGGTCCTGGTAATTCAGGGGCAGGGACTGAGGCCTGGCGCAGTAGTAGGGAGTGGAATGAGCATCTCTCGGCAATGCCTGTGCAAACAACGAGGCATAGCTGGACACCTGAAACAGAAGTGCACTGAGGTGAGGGGATGCGCGACCACAGACGGGTTCTCCCAAACCTGAAAGGGCATTGGCATGCCCCTTCCTCCATGGCTGGAATCAGATTTGAATTTCACATTTATTAAATAATTTAAGCAAGATGCTTTTTAATAGCCAGAACTAAGAAAGCTTTACAAGTTTCTAAAGCCCCACAACCACCACAACGTCTGATGACCAAATACTTCATCCCCACTCCAGGCTGAGCGAAATGTGAGCCAGGCTGCAGTCTGCACCTCACCTGGTGAAGAGCCCACAGCACACAGCAAGGCTTTAGAGAGGCGTGCAGCCACCCCACCCCGTTCCTCAGCCTGGGCACTCTCACGTCTGCAGGACGAGATTTTCTGGACTGGACCAGGGCACTCTCACACACAGCACAGGCATGACGGAGCCGGGCGACAGCATGAAGCCCACAGGGACGTCAAAAGGAGTGTGCCCAACACCTGAAGAAAGGCACAAGGAACCCCCCTGGGCCTTCCATGCATCTGTGCTGAAGTGGTAACTCACAAAGCCCAATCTTAAAACCACAACTTAAGCTCGCCACACACTGTTACAGGAGAACATAATCCTAAAATAGAGCTTAAGGAAACTGCACACTGACTAAAAAGGCCCTTAAAAAAGAAACTGCCTGACCCCAATGGCCAAGCCAGCTCCCTGCTCTCTGCTATCTTCTCAGCTGTAGGAGCTGATTCCTTCCGAACCTGACAGACGTCCCAACACCAGGGCCACTCACCTTGTTTGCCTGCCTGCGCGGGTCTTCACTGAGGTTCAGCAAGAGGTAGAGTATTGACCATTTATTTTTCAAAACTCCCTGTTAAGAAAAAAATTAATACTAAAAGAACTATTTCATATAATTTTCAGTTTTATTTTCCTCTCTCCTAAATATATTTCCAAAATAGAAAAGCATTTTAAAACTCCCCTGGTGACGTCACTCTGTACTCATTTCACATGTCATCACTACAGCTACCATCAGAAACTGGAGATAATGTTCCCAAATCACATCCTTGGGTCCATGTTAACCATGTTAACAAACTCCAAAGTTCCCAACAAGAACGAATCTTGACATTACCCTACTTCTGAAGAGCAGTATTGTCTTCTCTGAAAAAATCTGAAGAACCTCCCAAACAGTGATCATGGGACAAATGCCATCATAAAAGTCACGAGTTGTTTTTTCTTTATTAACGTGTCGCTTAGGTCTGAAGTGTGAGAAGCCTCAGGAGCAGGCGGACCTTGTGCGCAGCACCTGGCTGCTAGGATCACTGGCCCCGTGTCCACACAAGGGCTGGCACTTGGGCCCCATTCTTCTCTAGTCCTGCTCCACTCATCCTGATCCTCAACCCCGTTGGCAGCCAAACCTCCACCTGCTTCACCTCAAATGTGCACAGCACCTCCTCTGTTCCAGAGCCTCACATCTGGACACACAAGCTAGACACAGACACCTTCATCTACGGGACCCACTGCCAGACCATGAACACTTGCAGCATGCAGACTCTTTGTTATATAAAACATTCCCGAAAATTTATTTGAAGAATAAGCTCATCCCAGGTATTTAAATTATAACTTATAAAACTGATTTACATAAACATTTTCCAGAAACTGAAACAATTCCCCAGCTGAGCAACAAGAAAAAGAAAGAGCCCCGGCCCTGATGGAGTCTCAGCCAGTGTTACAGCAAGCAGGCAGGTTACACAACAGCACCCAGGGCTCTCAGAAAGGCGGCCACACAGGAGAGCCGGGAAGGTAGTCAGAGTGCAAGCTGGAAGGGGTGAAGAGTTCCGAGCAGGACACAGGAGCCTGCGGAGGCCTCCTGCAGGGAGCACACCCTGCTTCACGGAGGGGTGCACAAGGCGCTAGAGGCAGCAGGAAGACCGCAGCCACCTGGGAACACAAACCTGGGAGCTCACTACCCCCTGAAGGGCACCTGACCTGGGGCTCAGGGGCTGGCTCAGGCCAACACTAGCACTTAGGCCACCTCTCCCCCAGATCCCACTTGTCTTAAAGATTCTGGAACAGTCAGACAATAGCAGCAGTTGCCATTTAGAGATGGTCCACAGGATGCAGGTACTTCACCTACAACACCTCCTGCCACCACAGAATGTATTCACTTCATTCCACAAATGAGAGAAACACAGACAGCAAGCCCACATAATCCACCTACATCACAATGCTGCATGCCAGGATTCAAACCCAGGTCTGCCCGACTCCAAAAGAGGATGACTTGAGAGGAACAGCCCACAGGCCTCGGGAGTCAAGATGGCAGAAGCCTAACAGCAAACACCAGGGAGGGGACACAAAAGAGAAAGCACAGGGACGCCCAGAGGCACAACTAGGAACCTTGCCCCGCTCAGTTCTGAGGATGCCTGGCTGCAAGTTCCAGTGGCCTTTCCTAAGAAACATGCCAGTGGGGCATGGCCATAGGAAAGCTCTTCCTCTGCCACGAAGGGCAGGTCCAGACGCCCGCTCTCCGAGAGGGGTTCCTGAACAGAGGGGAAAATCACAGTGGGGAGGGGGTGTTGGGACTGAATGCACGGTGCTCTCCCACTAAGCTGCACCCACTCTTTGTATTTTCAGGTAGGTCTCACTAAGTTCCCAGGCTGGCCTGGACTTGTGACCCTCCTGCCTCTGCCCCCCACCCAGGGGTTACTGGGACTGCGGGCGTGTGCCACTGCACCCCGTGACTGACAGCTTCAACAGAGAAGAGCAGGTGTCAAACAGCCAGGGTCAGCTGCTGAGGAGCACCTAATGAGCACCTAATGTATACTGAGTACGAAAGTAACTAGGAAACAGGAGCAGGAAGACAGCCAAGCCACGGGCCAAGAAGCTCGGCACAGCCTCCATCCTCCCCACTCTGGCTGGGGCCTCAGCCACCTCCAGCTGGAGCCAGAGGGCAGAAAGCAAGGGACCTGGTGGTGCAAACATAAACAGTCTCAGCTCTAGAAGGATATTTTAAACTATCCCTGCCACCGCGGACTCCAGAAGCCAAGAGGCCTCGATTCAGGCATCAAGCTTCAGGGGCTGCGTGTACACGAGATTTTAAATGAGATGTGTCAGACACCACGAGATCTGGGAACACCGGAGCAGCTGCCCCACCAGAACCAGCATGGCTGGCGCAGCGTCCTACGGGGCAGCGCCCACCCCCATCGAGGCCTCCTCCGCCTGGTCCCAGCTGCAGTGTGCTTCTATTCCCCAAGCAAGCCACTCCCCTGTCCTCAGCCCTTCCTTGCCAGTCACACCTATACCCACTCAGGGTCCCACGTCCCCACACGACACCTGGACCCTCCTTCCTCTAGAGCTAAAAACCACCACAGCAAGCTGTACCTTAGACTTTCCTTCCATGGCAGGCACAGCAAATGCAGAAGAGGTCCCACACGGAGAAGACAGGACAGAAAAAATACCAACAGTTGTACTTTGGAGCCAGATATTTTTAGAAAAAAGATGGAATGGCTACTTTGCACTTGAATGACTAGTGTTATGCTACCATCTCTTAGTATTTTTTATGTTTCAGCCACACAATGTAAAAAAATCACCCAAGTTAGTTTTCTGGGCTAGCCCTAGGAAGGCAGTCATCATTTCAGAATATTCATGTTTAGAAAGAAACAAACATTGAATTCCAAACAAAATTCTGGGAAACAACTATTTTACTTTTTAATTTATTCTCATTAGTTATACAAGACAGTAGAATGCATATACACGATGGAATACTATTCAGCCTTAAAGAAAAAAATGAAATTATGGTATTTGCCAGTAATGGATGGAGCTGGAGAATATCATGCTAAGCGAAGTAAGACAATCCCAAAAACCAAAGGTAGAATGTTTTCTCGAATATGTGGATGCTCACTTACAATGGGAGGGGAGGGCGGTAAAGACACTTTGGATTAGACAGAAGGGAGTGAAGGTAGGGGAGGGGGTATGGGAAGGACAGTAGAATGAATCTAATGTTATTACCCTAGGTACACATATGACTACACAATCAGTGTGAATCTACACCATGTACAACCAGAAAAAGGAGAAATTATACTACACTTATGTATAATATGTCAAAATGCATTCTACTGTCATGTGTAACTAACGGAAAACCACCACTTTAAATCACAAAGTTCCTGAACATGTTTTCTTCCAATGGCCTACATCAACAGACACACAGGTTTCACAGGATGAGATCCTCCAGGTGGGGATCCCAGCAAGGCTAAGCATCTCAAGAACGTGATACCTGATAGTACATCTTTCTAACACCCAACACTAAGAAGTAATTTTTTACAAAAAAAAAAAAAAAAAGATTTAAGAAAAACAAATAATATCACTGTTAGAAACAATCTGTCTAGAAATGCATGTACAAAAAAATTTCCTATTTCTCACTTTGTAAATGTTATCAAAGATGAAAGAGTACACTTAAAACCATGAATCCAAGTAAAATGATCTGAATTAAGGAATGAGAACACTCTCCCACCCTACTGTCTCACTGTTTATCCTGAACAAACCAAGTGCTAAGGGCACAACCACCCTCTCTGAGATACCCTCTTGGAATTAAAATGCTCACACAGCACATACATTTAGGCTTGTCTTAGGACACAATATATGTAGAGACATGAAGATTCAAAAATAAGAGTTTAGTGACTAGTCACGTTATGCCAAACTTCACAATTTGTGTCGTTTCAACTTCACATTTGTGAAACAAAGCATTAAACTTCTCTGAACTCACTTTTTTTTCTACAAAAGGACAGAGAAAGCTAGTGAACTCAGTTCCTTTATAGTCAGAAATCTCACCTATAATTTTTATTCCCTGCAGGTCTGGAAATTGAACCCAGGACCTTAAGCATAGTAGGAGACAGTTCTACCACTGAGCTACACCCAGTCCACTCATTCAATCACCTTATTGGCAAAGTCTTTCATAAAAATATCAGGTTAGGGGCTGAGGATGTGGCTCAAGTGATAGCGTGCTTGCCTGGCATGCGTGAGGCACTGGGTTCGATTCTCAGCATCAAATTAAAAATAAAAATAAAAAAATAAAGATGTGTCCACCTAAAATTAAAAAATAAATAAATAAATAAATAAATATATCAGATTAAAGAAACCATTAATTTTCAAGAGTCAATAGCCAATCACAAAAGATTCAAAATTTTTTAATTTATTCCCTATAAAGGTACAAATTAGGACACAATAAAGTGCATCCGAGGTGAGCTTTTACTGCTGTGTGGACCAGCTCACAGTGTCATTAAGACTATGACACAACCCTAGAGCCTCTGAGTCCTTTTCAGTCCAGCTCCATTCATCTTCATAAGCAACTTCACATGAAACCCAGCTAAAATTCACTCAAGGGGCTGGGGCTCAGCAGTAGAGAGAGCATTTGCCTAGCACATGCGAGGCCCTGGGTTTGCCCTCAGCAACAAATAAAAATAAATAAAATAAAGGTATTGGGTCTAACTACAGATAAAAAAATAAATATTAAAAAAATACAGGGAACATTATTACAATTAAGTCATTAGTGATCATAGAAAAGCTTGCTGTGATACCATCAAAATGTCCAAATATTTCCGTCCACTAGGAAGGCCTCCCCACTCATGGGCTGACTTTCACCATGTCTGCCACACCTGCCAACGCAGCTTCTTCCCACCTGCGCGTACCTGGGAATGAAGTTTCCTGTGGAGCTCTGAAAACAATGCAGCGTCTGCCTCTCTCCTTTGCCGAATAACTGAAAAGAGAGGAAAGAAATCAGGCATGTTCATCACACGCCAAAACCCACTATTTCATCTATGCTAAAACAAGGAGTGACATTTTAGCTCTGACAAACCCTCTGATACTTATAAAATACGGAAAATATTAGGCTGGAGTCAAAGCATTTATGTGAAAATTGCTAAACAGAAACAATGGGATCATTTATAGTCTATTTACTTACAAATATTAATCAGCAGTGAGGCAAACTAAAATCAACTTAACTAGTTAATAATACCTACCTGAAAAGAAGGATGGAAAGTAAAAATACCTTGGAATCCTAAATTCTAAGGACAATAAAATACAACATTCATGACAGTTTATCTGACTTAAAAACTACCCTTACAAAACATTTTATTAAGGTACACAGCAATATTTCATCATTTTAGAGTAAAATACAATAATCAATTTTTAAAATAAAAATCAAAATAGCTTGTTAATTTTCATATTAATAAATGAATCTAGATATTCAGTTACACTCATAAATCATGTGAAAGGAGTGACAGCAAGCAACAAGTACCCCCCCCCGCGCCACATTCTGTCCCAGAAGAGAAAAGCCATGAGTTGGCTGTGGTTCCAAAACTCAGAACATGTTGGTTTCAAAAGCCAGCATGTAACACTTAAAAAAAAATACTTACGTTCTTTCTTGATTTTCTCAGCTACCAGAAATTCATCTCTTTCAACAGTTGGGGCAAAGTTGCTGCCAATAACTCGCACAGCAAACTGGAACTGTTGGGCTACATCAGCTGAAAGAAAAGCCAAAGGGTGCAAATTATTGCCGCAGTCTGGCTGGGCACAAATAACCGGGAGGTCACAAGCCACTTGTAGATTCAAGCAGGAACGAACTTTATTCCCGAACCCCCGAGAACTCCACTCGAACTCCTTGAGACTCAATGGGAACTCAACGAAAACTCCGCGAGAACTCAAAAGTAGCGGGCACCCAAGGCAGCAGGAGCCGCCCCTTCTGGCAAAAAGCCAGGCACCATCTTGACATRGCCGTGGCTCTCAACATCTCCCCACTTTTGTTTAATTAAACAACAAGTATGTGGCTTAGGGACTGTGCCTGTTAGGCTGTCCAATACTACATATGGTCCTTACCCATCATCTGATGAGCTGACCTCAGGCGTCAGCCTCCTGTCTTAGGTTAGTACCACTGCAATTGGATATTATCCGTCATTGACTACCAGCCCAGCATTTAGCGAAACTTATGGATAGTGGTTTTTACACAAATTCCATAAACAACCTGATACAACCAGAAAGGGAAGGATACAAAATGCCATGACACCAAGCCAATTGATGGCTCCTTTTAGAAAAATTGTACTACCTTAGACATCATCAGCAAAGATACCCCGGCACTACCACAGTTCACTGCACCAACACGTAGTTCACAATGCATACAAGTGATACATAGTCCAGGCAAGTTTTGCAAGCAGTTCAAAGTTGAGGAATCCATTAACATGTCCACTTGCTCCCAAAGAAAATCGACTCCTTAATTGAGCATCACTTGTTGAGTTATTATTCACTGATGTATCAGTTTATACAGTTTATTGTGATAGCTATCACAGAAGCTGTAGTTTGGTTTTAAGTCATGCTCTATCTTTGTGTTCACCAGCACTGGGATGAAGATAGGAATTCTGGCAATGATGACTAAGAAAAAATTATGTAACATTCTAGCAGGAACTAAAAAAGCAATTTTCTAAACAATTTAGTATCCTGAATACAATTGGATATAATGAAAAGGAAAGGTGAAAGTAAACATACAGAACTGTTAGCCACATTTTAAAACAGTCCTCAACAGCTGTTTACCCAATTTGAATTAAATCATTTAAATCAGTGAATAAAAAAAATGTTTGGATCCATTTTTTCATGAGCGCTCCTCATATATGATATATGGACATACGCACATACAGACATACAACACATAACACAAGTTTGCACACATAACACAATACATACAACACATAACATAATAGTAAAGGCCTTGTAGCTTTTCACAGGTGAAATCTCCATTGCAATGTTTAAAAACTCCATAGTCAAAAAATAAAACTGATCAGAAAAACATTAACCTAGGTCTGTAAGAGCTCAAAAATAAATAAATAAATAAATAAATAAAACTTCATGATGTGGGAAAGGGCAATAATAAAATAGGTATTGAAAAAAGCATTCTGGTTACCACCTGAGTTTGACTCTTTTTTTGATATCCCATCCTTTTTCCGATAACTTGCATATGGGTCTGAAGGTATTCCCACAAGCAAGCCACAAGGTTTCTTACATCTGAAATAGGCCTTAATGGTGTACATTATTCATTAGCCTCCAGGTGTGGGAGAACCACTGTCGTAGATGTAAGAATAGCCAAACTGGAGCTCTGGATATCAGCTGTTATGGATTTGAGTCAAATCACCTTTTTTTGTTTTCGTTTTTGTTTTGGTCCATAGAATTCACTTTGGTTAGTTTCTCTGGAATCCAAATCGGCTGTTGTTCTCCCTGTAGAAACATACAAACAGAACCCCGACTCCAGACAATCACTGGGTCAGGACCTTAGTTAATCTCTCTGGAATCCAAATCGGCTGCTGTTCGCCCTGTGGAAACACATAAACAGACCCCCGATTCCAGACAATCACTGGGTCAGGACCTTTCCATTGTCCTGTTAGAATATCCTTCCAAAATACCTTAGGCTTATGTACATTTTTTGGACACATATGCCTTTCTGCAGCACTAAGCCCTGTTGAATCCAAATTTAAAAAGTTTAGAGTAAAAAGGGTTATTTTAAGTTTATCTTTGGGGGATATATATCCCTTCCCAATTCCCTCTTTTTGCTTTAATAAGTACATTTTACTAGTTTGATGAGCTCTTTCAACTATGCCTTGTCCCTGTGGATTGTATGGGATTCCTCTTATATGAGTAATGCCAAATGATGAGCAAAATTGTTTAAAAGAGGTAGAAGTATAACCAGGACCATTATCTGTTTTTAACTGTTTTGGAACGCCCACAGTGGCAAAATTTTGTAAGCAATGA